AGCTTGTGACTGTTATTCCTGGTCACTCCTGGTAGTGCTTCATAATAATGAGCAATGAAGTCAAGTGACTCCCTCATTGCTGCCTGAACAGAAATGCCACTGCCCCTCGCAGGCAGCTGGTTTTAAAGTTTGGGTGGAGCAGGAATCAAAGGGGAGGGGTGCAACTACACCACTGTACATCCCCTGGATCCGTCCCCAGGGATAGGCCTCTGGGAGTTGCAGCATTTTGTAGCAATAGATGGCTTTAACTTAGCTGCATAACAAATGTCATGTTCCAGTCCAACAGAGAACACTTGAGAGTGCAAGCTTTAATTTTAAATAATTGAGACATTTTTTAAAACATGCTGCCTCCCCTTTTCAATGTCTTTTGGATTTTAAATCAGCTTGTTGGTTGGTTTCCTTATAGACACATTAGGAAACTATCTTTTAATTCAGGAAAATTATCTGTTCCCCCTCAACTGAAACAGAGGCCATAAAACCTAAAGTTCAAAGTACAGTGGAAAGAAATGACAATTTGGATGTTGGGTCAATGGGTTGCATTAGGAAGCCATAGCCACATGAGTAAGGTGGCTGCACATTCCAGTTTTCTGGGCTTGTTCCTAGTTTACAGAGCATGTCACAGACTGATTTTGCTAAAAGCTAAATTAATCCTAATGTGTATGTATTTTGGGAATCTGAATTTTCTTGCAGAACTGAGCTACAAAGTAGCACCACAGTTCAGCCAGGTAAGAGTACCAGCAATTATGGCGGGGCAGGAGAGAAACATGGGAGTTTCAAGCACTTCTGCATATCTAGGGATTTAAGACCGCCAAATGTTATTGGCTACCTCATCATTCAGCAGGTATAGAACTTTCTAATTGGCTGAGTTTCCCCAAGTGTAAAAAGAAAGATAGCAACAAACGTAGATGGATTTCTTATACGATGCCACTTAACACAACTGTTACCTACCCAGGTATCCTTACTACACTTGTCCAAAATAGCCATTCTTCATGTCTAACAACCTAGATTTCCATACATAACACCACCTATATGTTACTTGCCACCATGCCCCATCTGACAGGGATCCTGGAAGTAAATTCTGAAAAATCTGCTTACCAGCCTCATGATTAAAGATTTGATTCAATCACTACAAAATCTCCCTTTCATGCAGGTCTTTCAGGTTTAAATGTTAAATTACAGCATGATTCTATGGCAAATACATTCATTTGTTCTATCCAGGTGATTAAACGCACATCCCAAAATGACAAGCACTAAACACTGTTAGTACACAGTAGCTCTAGTACAGTAGTCAATAGAGCTTTGAAAAGACTGCTTATTCTCATACTTACTTTGAAAGGGCATCTTATAACCTTCCACCCCCCCCAACCTATTCTCTACTTCCTTACCTTGGCTTCAGGACAGAAAGGCACCAACCCACTCTTCAAGAAGGCTCTCAGCACCAGAGAAATTTCCAAATAGCACATAGCAGTATTGGGGAAACCCAGCAGAGCACTGTGGCTGAGCATACAGGAAGTCTTGAGACTTGAGAGTAGGTTTAGACTGCACCAGAAAGAGACCAGTGGTCTTTTCCACATTTAGCTGCTACTCTGTCTGGATGACTTTGGGTGTGTCCTTTAACCTCTACCTCAGTTTCCCCATCTATACAATGGAGGATAATAACTTCTTTTGAAGTGCTCTGATACTCATGAAAAATGCTATCTATATAAGAGCTAGGTGTAACCTGGGAACAGGCAGGAGCTTAGTAGCCATAAATCGCAACCAGCCCAAAACAGGCTTGAGAAATATGGGGGCCTGGTACGTTAAGAGAAGCCTCCCATTTTTTAAATAGGAAAGTATGACCAGAAGGGACCTGCTAAGAGTGATCCAATTTGGGGATAGCCTATGAGCTTGTAGCCCCATTCCTTGAGCCCAACTATTCATGTGAAACTACACTGACTGGAGCTTGAAGGCTTTTTTCCTTTCTCTCTTTAATATAATGGGCATATATTTGTCCTTTCCCAGTTGGCAAAGGCTTTTTTCTCCCTTGAGACCAGTGGAGCTCAAGTTAGTGTTTTGTTGATTTCCTATATGCAGGTCAGCTTCAATCATAGCAGCAACAGCATGCAGGATTCAGGATGAGATTATCTGTCAACTGCTTATAGAGAACTAGTAAAAATGCACAAATACTTAGTACGTTGATGCTATTTGCAGTTTTTTTCCTTTAAATGGGTAGACTAATTTTTTCCATAAATGGGTAGACTAATTTAGTTACTACAGTAATTTTAAAGTAGGCCAACGTTTGGGATCTAAAAGTTGCTTCAAAACCCAGGACGGAATATTTTTCTATTTCGGCATTGTTATATTACCCTTTTTAAAAAGTTCTAATCCATAAAAAGCTTAACACACTATGCACTTTGGATATAAGAAACTTGTTCCATCTTGTGTTGTGGAAAAGCAAAAGTGTAATCTGTATTTTTAATTGAACTACAGCTGTGCATTTAACTTCACATGACTACATGGCCTTTATCATTTAACCGTAATATTGCTATTAGCAGTGAGGATTATATTTCCCCATGCTTACATACACAAGTAAGCAAGCAGACAAAGTAAGACATTCTAACCATTTCAGGAACAGAGACAAACAATTTAATCCATATTACATAATTCACTGAATACAGTTGATCTCATCCAAAGTCACTCCTGAGAGCAAAATAGTTTCAGCATTACATTTTATATACAGCTATGAAGGGATTACTGGAAACCAGAAGAGTCTCCTTATACCATGGTATATATACTGGTTACGATGCCTGTTTATGCTTTCTTTCTGCAGAGAATTAGTCAAATCATAATATAGCTTGTTACCACCTGCTTGGTATTAAAAAACAGATTAATATGCATTTTTATAATTTCTCTCTCATTACAGGTGGCCCTTTCCACAATGAAGTAGTAATGCCAGACATCCATCTAAAGTCAGGTGCATTGAAAAATGACTCTTTCTGCTCTATAGCCCAGAAAATACTGGCCATAATTACAAATCTTTATATACACTAGTTTAACTGTAAACAACACGTATAAGTCCTCTCCGTTTTTCCCCTTATACAATGTAGTAATTGCTGTCTGAACCAAACTACATCCTCCACACTACAGCCTGTTATTTTCCATGCTATCAGCTTCCTTTGAAAAACAGGCTCATGAAGTCCAATGTGACCCCATTTTGATAGAGCATAAATTAGAGAATTATAACGACTTGTGATCCAACAGAATCAAAATAATATAGACTTTAGCATATTTTTCCAGTCATTAGGGTGAGGAGACTTGAATGCAGATACTGGAACATACAACTGGAAACATCTGTACTTGCATGCTTTTAAGTGAAAAGATAAGCAATATTTGTAATTTTTTCATCGTCTTCCTTGCACATATGCAAGATGTTTTATAAAAGTTTACCACAGATAGCTATGACAGTACATGATGTAATTATAACTTTCATTAAAAAAGCACTAGAAATTAAAGGCAACCAAGATAATGTATGTATTCTCTAGGACAATTTTTTTCTCAGCTACACAATGTGTGTATACACCAAGGTCTAACACACTTAGCTGCACTACATCAAGTCAAGCTGTTCAAAAAACACACATAATTTTGCTTACAGGAGTATTTTCCTTCCACAATTTGCCATTTAACAAGTAATTTCCTGTATTGGATTATGTTTAAAATCAGAAGTATGGATATATTTCGTTCCGATACTACTGTCAATTTTTTTAATGACATGTATATCAGAAATGAGGCAAGACATAAGATTAAGTGCAGGGAAGCATTTCAGACCCAATAAATGCATTTTTTTTAAACTTAGCTATACATGGTTAGTAACACAGAGAAATTTTACTAAGAGTTGCATAAAATGATTTTAAAAAAATTTTTGGACATTGAGTAACTGAGGCTTACTCAGCACACAATTCCTCTGCATCACAGAAATGCATTTCGAGTGTCCAATTACAAAAAAAAATTGCATTTAAGAATATTTGCTAAAGTGGTATTACAAACATAACAGATAAGATAGTAAACTTGGATGGAGTACCCTTTATGAAATCCAAGAATCTGTCGTCCCTTGAAAGATACGCAACACACCCAAAAATGGAACAGAAGGCTGACTGCTCTCCGCCCACACAATCCAAGCAAATTTTAATACCATGTGCTAAATACATTTGTCTACCAATTTTTATACCTGCTGGATAATCCAAATTATTCTTATGTCTGAACACGTTGGATAATTATTTCTACTGCTGAAGCAGCCAGCAAATGGTTCTTTAAATAAATAAAAAGGGAACCTCCTCCCACCCCCCAAAGCTTTAATTACAACAGTCTAAGCCAAGGATTTAAGCAGGCAAATTTTAAAATAGCCATTTGTTACATGTAGCAAGCTACCATGAACTTAAGAATTCCTTCTAGGAGTACAACAACACACAAACAGGCTACCCAGCAGAAAAATATGTTAACAATTTTATTTCTCTTTTAATGTTAAATATCATGGGACAGGATTGTAAGGATGAAAAACTGTCAACAACTGCCTCACAAGGGATAAGAAAAAAAATTCTGCCATGATATTAGCAAAGAAAGATAAAGCAGAAAATTTACACAGTAAGAGGCACCATTCCCCCAGAATACCTCTTGTCATATTCCTGAATGAGTGGGATTAGCAATCTAATAAATCATTTTTCAAGAGGTAACAGCAACAGATAAAATTTTAAAGGATTATTAAAATAACATTTACAAGACTTTGAACAATTTCTGAACTCTTATTAAAACCACAAAAAGAAGGAACAATTCTTTATTTATGAATTTTCATAAAGGACTGAATGTGCAACTGACACCTGCTATTGATGATTTAAATGTACAATTTTGTCCAGTAGCCGAACAGTTTGTCTTTTATTTTAATTGTGTTTTCTAACCGTGCGAGATCATTAAAGGCAAAGCCTGTATGACGCTGTACACAAAAATGGTCACTTGGGCCATACTACCAATGAAGTGGTAGGTAAACAAATCTTTTCCTGGCCAAGAAACAAAAAGGAAGCCGCACTCTGCATGCTTCTCTCTCTCTCTTTCTCTCTCACTCTCTACAAGATGAATTTCCCTAGGAAGAATCCAATGAAAATGGCTGCAATTACAACAAGCAGAGAGGGAAGAGGATTGGAGCCATTCTCTCTGAGAGCCAAGGCTGTGGGTGATCCAGATTTATCTGAGTGTGCTACCTTTCTGAGCCTCAAGCCTTCCTCCTGAAAAGAAAAAATGGAAGAATTTGTGAATAAGATACCTATTAGAGAAAATGTAACCAGGAACTTTAATCTAAAAACATTTATGATCATAAAGAAAATAATAATAATCAGCATTACTTATTATTTAAACTATGCTATACAAGAAAAGCCGTGACAAAGTAAATTTGAACCCATCATAACTGTCCTTAATTGAATAACTAATACACAATTTTTTACCCTGCCCCTGTGCATACATCTTAATTAAAGGGAACAAAACACTTAACTGAAAACTTTATGAGATCCATCTTTTAGCTGCACATTAAAAATTGAATAGTAAATGAAAAGGATACCTGAAATCTACATTTTACGCTTTATTTTGCTGTATTCTCCAATATTGCTTCATTACAATTTTAGCTGTTAGCATTATTTTAGGTTTCTTTTTAAAAACAATTATTGCCAATATACAATAATCACATGTAACTGTATACTGTAAAGCAGGGGTTCCCAACCCCTGGTTCCACAGGAGGGTCAGCTGCTGGACCGGAAGTGACCACAGACCAGCAAACTGCAGACTGGAAGTGACCAACTTACTGCGGACTGGCAGCCGACCCCTTTTTACACTGAGTATACCAAGTATAAAAAAGGGTTGGCTTCCTGCCCACAGTATGCTGTTGGTCTCCAGTTTGTCAGTCCACAGCATAAAAAAGTTTGGGAATCCCTGTTATAAAGTATTTAAAAACTAGCAGTACACAAAACCAACAGAAAGTAATAACAAGTTGGCCACAACTAGTATGCCAACATTTCATCATGTGCAGTGCTGTTAGTTTATATCTCACCTATATGTTCTTGCATACCTATACATACGTTCAAAGGATATTACCGTGTTTCATAAAAACTAACCAGAACTGTCAAGACTGAAAGGACAGCCAGCATTCTGTTTCAAAAGGACACAATTCGTTCCATTCTATCGTAACGAATAGTTAACTTGCAGAACTTTAGTATCTTAGCAGTATAAAAAAATGTAGCAATGAAGTCTCAATAATTGGTGAGTATTTCAAATATACTTCTGATTATCCTGTGCTGCATATGTTCTTGCATAATAGAATACTAATTCTTAGATCACTTACATTTTAAAAATATTTTAATAAATTCACTTCTTGCATTTTACCCAGAAGCAAGATTTTAAAATGAAAAGAGTGACAATCTGGCTAAGACAGTTCTGAAGAAGGAACCTTTGATAAATTTTTATTCTTAGAAAAATACTGTTACATCACAAATGAGACCTGACATACTGATAACAAGTACCTTAATCTCTCTAAATAGGCCTGTCTCATTCTCCAAATTAGTTCCTTTAAGCATAATTTCATTTGCATGACTGAACATAAATCTATGGCTTTTAAACCAGATGCTTAGGAGCACCTCATTTTAATATAAAACACATTACAGAACTTACTTTCAGGTGCCGATTTTCATCTGACAGTTTCATCACTTCACCCTGAAGTCTTTTGCACTCTTCCACTAGTTTCCTTGTTTCAGTATCATTAAGTGAAACACTATGTGGTTTTGGCATCGGTCCATCCTGTTTAGATGTATTCAGCACTGGGGCAGACTTGCTTGATTCTATATCATTCTACAAATATTAAGAACGACTTAAGAATTTTACTTTTCAAGATGCAAATATTATTTAGATCTCAAAAACTGAAAAAAGCAAACTACTACTACAGCATAGTTCAATAAAGTTAATATTTATTACTTATCTAAACAATGGAAAGATTTTTGCCATTGATTTTTCAACCTTCATTTGTAAGAACCTTAGAAGTCATCAGAACATTGCACTGTTTGTAGTTAGTGCTTCTGCCTTTGAGGGAAAAAAAGTTCTCTCAAACTAACTTGACCCAATAGGCATCCAAAGAACTTAAGATGTGAACCTCCATTTGTACTTGAAAGGAAAAAGGCAAAAGAAAAATAATTATAAGGTGACAAGAAATAAAAGGACACAGTAAAATAAAGTAGCAGGTGAAGAAAAACAGAGGTTCTATTAGGGACTAATGCAATTAAGTACAGGGAAAAATATTGGGCAGGCATCTAGAATGCCTGGCAGTAAAGGCTCTCAAGGGATTTTACAAATGTTGATTGCACTTCATGGCTCTTCTCATTTTGAATTTAGGTAAACACATGCAAAGGTTAAATGACCACCCAAAGTAAGCAAGGCTGTGACAAAGCTGCTAGTAAACTCCAGGAGTCTAGATTCCATGCTCTAAACATTGTATGTTGTCTTGTGGGCTTCACACCATTCCATATAGCAGTGACCTCAATTAACTACAGAGTTAAATGGATTTATAAAGTTCAGTATCCATGTTATAATATTTGTATAAATAATTTTATCAGCTGCATTATTCCATCTCCTTACATTTTAGATATTGTACAGCATGACCACAAAGAACCTAAGGGCCATATCCTGCTGTACTGCCTATTACAGGGAGTCCTGTAAGATTCAAGAGAATACCTCAGGCATGACTAAGAAGAGCAGGATTTAGCACTTTTTATTGGTTTCTTATCTAAACAGAAACTCCACTAGACCCTAAAGCTTTTCGCTCCCTGGAACAAACCTGCTTCTGCTGTCTGACCTCACTGATTGGCTCCTTCATGTCAATCTTCTGGCTATAGCTGGTAGGCGTCTGAAGAAACTTGTTGTTGGCTGGAGTGAAATACTTGTATCCTGGTGTAGGTAAATCCTGAGGTGGCAGGTGAGCCATACCCTCAGTGCTGTTCAGATTTCTCATTTCAAGAGTTAAGGGAGTGACTAAACCAACTGCTAAAGGATTAGGTTCTGCAACCCCACGCTGCTACTCAGAAAAACATAAATATTATGTACAGGCAATAATAATATGAAGGTACCATGTTACAGAACATGCAAAAAAAGAGTTAGCTACAGGTGTTAGTTTTGTACAAGAAGTATTTGGTGTTCTGGCTAAACTCTAAGGTTTAGTGTAAAATTAAACACAGCTACTTAGAATCTACAATGTAAAGAATGTAATGGCTTAATAGTAAGTGAGAAGTAAAAAGTATTCCAACTAAATGAGTATCTATTAAAATTATACTTAACCTTTACATTTCTGGTATTTCTAGTAGATGGGTTGCCAAAGATTGATACAAATTCCCATTTTATTGATATCTTCTTCCCAAAATATTTTCATACGACACCCAAAGCACTACATTAGAAGACTGTGTACAGCATTGTAGCCGAATGTAGGAAGTCTCTCTTGGGATTCAGAATTAAAGAATAGAAGAAATCATATCCAAAAGAGATTTTGCAATACAGGCAAAACCTGGTTGGTTCTTACCAGGTGCTGCTGGAAACACCTCTAATACTTCTACTAGGAACATATTTCCCACTGTGTATTTAGATAACACTCCCTTATAACATTATCAGCCACCCTGAATCCAACATAGCACCATGGCACTAATCTGTTGCTACCACGAAGCACCAAATGCACTATGAGAGCACAATTTAAATATTTATACTTCTTAACTGTACTCTTCACAGTCCTGCTCCCTTCTACCTTGTCAAGAACTGACAATTACTGTTATTTTAAATGACATACACAGTTCAGAAAGAACAGTGCTCTTCTATACTGATGTCTTGAAATTATCACCTGCGACAAAGAGTTCTATGCCTCTGCATCTTAAATTTCCCTGCTTTACCAGTAACATAAAAGATGGATGTCAAGATTATCTGTGCTAACCCAAGTGAAGAACCATGGAAACTAGGCCTGGAAGAGACCTCTGAAGGTCACATAATCCAACGCCATGCCTCAAATCATTAAATAAATCCTTCTCTAACTTATAGCCAGGGATCCTGGTTTCCCCCGATAAAAATATCACAAATTCTCTGATAAAATCCTCAAAATCCATGATTAAAACTAAAGCCCTCCCAGTTGTTCCCCCCCCCCACTG